AAGTTCTGCAGAACAGGTCTGATATAACCTTGGAGATTTTACTAAAGGCCCACCGAGTTCAATTGGAAATTCTCGTTGCTTTGAAAACAGGTTTAACTAATTTTATCCAGTTAGACAGCAGCATTTCGTTGAATGATTTAGCTGAGATTTTTCTGAACTTAAGATGTAGGAATATTGTATGCCGAAATCAGTTACCTGTGGATGAATGTGATTGCAAAGTTTGTGCACAGAAAAGTGGCTTTTGCAGGGTGTATGTGTCTCGTGTGCTGTAAGTTTGACAATGCATCAAATACATGTAGTTGGGTTGGGTGCGATGTTTGCCTTCATTGGTGCCATACGGACTGTGGATTACGTGAATCATATATTAGGAATGGACGCAGTGCTACTGGGGTCCAAGGGGTAACCGAGATGCAATTTCATTGCGTTGCCTGTGATCATCCTTCGGAGATGTTTGGTTTTGTCAAGGAAGTGTTTCTACATTTTTGCAAAAGATTGGCAGTTGAAGCTCTTTGCAAGGAACTTGAATATGTGAAGAGAATATTTTCTGCCAGCAAAGACATGAGAGGGAGACAGCTGCATGAGGTTGCTGATAAAATGCTGCCAAGGCTGGCAAATAAGAGTAACCTTAAGGAGGTTTATAGCCACATCATGTCTTTCCTTAATGGTAAGTATTTGATGTCTCAATGATTACATATTTCCGCAGCTCTTTTTCGATTCAGTGTTTGCACTATATTTTTACAGCACTTAAAACTGTTTTTTTTCCTGTCAACAGAAAAAGAAAAATTGTCAAGCAAACTTCTTTTGTAAGAGGAGCGAAAAGAACATCTTGGTGATTTAGAAGAAAACTAATTGGATGTATTGATTATCTATCCTGGTTTATCTACTCTTTGGGCAATTACGTTTCAAAGTGCTTGTTGCCTTCCATTCATTTTGGGCTTTTGGCCATGTTAATCACGAATACCTCTTCTCCTGTGCAATAATATCCACCAAATTTTGGACCTGTAGAAAATGCATGCCAAATATAGCTTTTTCTTTTCTAATGAGACAGAGCCAGAGCTTGTACTGCAAAGCTCTTCTTGCTGTCTGCATAAACATATTCACATAATGTTGGTTAAATTCTCAGTTTGAGTAACCGTCTGAAGTTTATGAATGTAGTTTGTGACTGCTTTCCATTCTTTTCAATTTGATCTTTTCCTTTTTATTTTAAAAAATAAATTCCGAGGCTGATGTGGTGAGGCCCCTTTAGGGGGGTTCCTAAATACCCGTTGGAGTACATCAAACAGAACAGCTTAGACTTGACTAGGCTTCCCAGTGGCTTTCTGGTGCGCCTTGGTGAACAGTCAGGCCTGTTTCAAGACTGGTGGTAATCTTTCGGCCCTTCATTGAAACAGCTTAAACTTACTTTTATTAAATCTGATTGAAAGAATCAGGACTCCTAGCCAATCTGCTTCAGTAAGTTTAATATTTTTTACTTGTTTGGCGTCATATGGAACTATTTACTGATGCTATTTTTAAAGCCGTTCACAGCTGTTTTACTTCATGATCATATTTGATTTTTGCAACACTGGCAAATCTTGGTATCTGTAGAACTAAGTTTCATAGACCTGATTTATGTTTATCATGGTATTGCAGAAGGGGAATCTTCGAAATTAGCCTTGGACGCGGAAACTTTTCCTGGGAAGGAACAAACTAAAGAAAAGAACGCAGTTGCTGAGCCCGGCCAGGAAGCTGCCTGGATGAAATCTATCTATTCCGAAAAGACGCCTCTGTTAGAACGACCAGCAAATATCCTTTCTAGCTTGACCGCAATGATAAACGGACTCCACCAAGGGGAATCTTCGAAATTAGCCTTGACGCGGAACTTTCCTGGGAAGGAACAAACTAAAGAAAAGAACGCAGTTGCTGAGCCCGGCCAGGAAGCTGCCTGGATGAAATCTATCTATTCCGAAAAGACGCCACTGTTACTTTAGAACGACCAGCAAATATCCTTTCTAGCTATGACCGCAATGATAAACGGACTCCACCACAGGAGTTGCAGATGAATATCCAGAAGGACTATTGTTTTGATGAATTGGAGAGTATAATAAAAATTAAACTGGCAGAGGCTAAAATGTTTCAAACACGTGCGGATGATGCCAGAAGAGAAGCTGAAGGCCTGAAACGCATTGCCCTTGCAAAGAATGAGAAAATTGAAGAAGAGTATGCCAGCCGACTCTCAAAGTTGCGATTGGCAGAGACTGAGGAAATGCGTAACCAAAAATTTGAAGAACACCAGGCATTGGAAAGAGCACATCTGGAGTACTTTAACATGAAAAGGAGAATGGAAGCAGACATTAAGGATCTGCTATTGAAAATGGAAGCGACCAAAAGGAGTCTTGCCATGTGACAAGCTGATCAAGTTTTTTTAGTATAGTTCTCTCGGGTAAATGAAATGTTTAATTCTGAAATTTGTAGGTTTTAGTTCATCTTATTATTATTGTGAGCTTCTGTAGTTCTTGATTTCTAGGTGTATCTATTTGTTGTAGTAGTTCATTTTAGTTTATGCTGCTAACCAGAATCTGCACAGAGATCACATCAGCTATTAGTCTTATAAACAGTTCTATTCAAGAAAGCAATTTAAAGACGTGATTGTGAATTCAATACATACTTTAAAAGACTTCCTGGCAGGTATGCTGTACAGGCTATGTTGTACTGACTGACCCCAAAAAGGAAAGGCGGATGAACCTTGTGAACTTGGTAAATACTGATCAGATCTTTTACTGTTTTTATGCTCAATTCATTGCATGGTTGTCTCGTGCAAATCCGAAGGGTACTTGCTTCTGGAAAACAGAGCCTCTGATGTCGTCTGATCCTTGCTATAAATGAAAGTAAATACGCGTAGAGACTGAACTATGGTATACCACGTATTTGATGAGTCGAGCAAAAAGTTTATCACGTTGAGAATTTCTTTGAAGCAATCAATTATGATCTACGTGTTATGTTTTCAATAAATAATGTAAGGGCAGTCACTGAAATTCGAAACCAGCCGGTCAAATGATCGACATTTTAGGGCTTGCTCGATTTTGTTCCCATCTTTTTAACCATATTATTTTCTAAAATAAAGCGAAAGAGACAAATATGTTGGATCATATTTATTTGGAAACATGCTTTCTGCTATCGGTCGTAGCCTGCCACCACCTTCAATCAACCATTGTTTATATCCTCCTTACCCACCGCTGGCCATCGCCACTGGCCACCTTCACCCGCCACTGCGTGGCGACCTGCCAACCCCATCATCTGGTGATGGTGGTAAATGGCTATGGTTAATGGTGGTGAGTGGTGGTGGTTGCTGGCGGCTGCTGGCCAAGGTGGCAACAGGTGGTTGGCAAAAAGACCACAATAATGAAGCTATCTGCATCTACTTCCTATTTGCCCCCGAGGGCGGAGAAGGCTCTTTTTTTTTTTTTTTTTTGAAAGAACTGGATGTGATTAAAAAAAATTATATTGAGATGCTAGGTGTACCGAGAAAATAAAATTAGGGTAAGAATGAAGTAGTAGATACACCTGAAAAATAAGATTAGAGCGCTAGATATATTTTCACTTTTCTTCTTATCCAAGGATTTATTTTTTCTATTATATTCTCATGTCTAGTTTGAGCTTTATAGTAATCATAAGAAGGCATCAAGAAGGAAATGGTTTCCTTTCCCGGTCTAATTTCTAGGGACCTAATAGATGTGGTGGTTCTTTATATCTCACAATGATTAGATAGAGAATTGATTTATATGTTTGAAGTTCATTTAAATGTTTTACATTTTGTTATTTGAATTTTATTTATTATTTTTAAAAATTAGTGATTTAAATATAAAAAATTAATACTATTTTTCTTTTGAGTAAAAAGGAATTCATTGATCAAAGGGATATGTACAATTAACGAGACACAGAACCAAATAGTTACAGCATTAATCATCTAAGAAAAGCTTCTCAAGAGTTACAAAAATTCTTCGCCTTCATGATATGGTCTGCAAAGGAAAGTGTCTCGTTGATCATCCTGGGTTCCTCGTTGAAGATGAAATTGTTACGAGCTCTCCACAGTTTCCAACAGAGTACGCCGAAGATAGTGCAACACAGTGGGTTATTCTTTGGAAGAATTACAATGAGGTCCCAAGTAATTAAAAAACAAGTCCCAGAAGTTGTCATTCTCATTGTAAGACTTGTTATTTCAGGCTGTTCAGGTTGTTATTTGGGACTTTATAGTGATTATTTCTCTTGTGTGGGACTTGAATGTAATTCTCCCTTATTCTTTGGACAACTTACGTTTTCGTGAAACCAAACCAAATATTCAGAAGCCAGCTTGCGTTGCCTTAGGACATGATTAACTTTTTCTTCTTCAGTGCCACATATGCCTACGAGAACCCTTTCACTATATGTGAGTAATTTGCCTCCCATTGCAAGCCGGGGGAAAGTTCTGATTCTGTTTGGACCAGGTCAGAGCCAAGCTTGATCCCATCGGTTATCTTCTAGCGGGGCAAATGATAACGATAGATGTCTTAGTGGGCCAAGGTTGCCCACCCAGTGATCCATCCAGCTCAAAAAATAACCTAAAAAAAGATTAAATTTAAAATAAGTGACTTTGATTCCTGAAATCTAAAATTAGTGGTTTTAATTCCTAAAATTTGATCTCATTTTGACCTTGAAAATTAAAAATGATATTAACCCAAAAAATAAACAAAGATGTATTTTCAATTTATTTGCCAAATTTTGCTGATGGATAGTGGCATAGGAAAAGTAAATGAATCAATATGATCAAACTCGCCAAACAATAAGACCAGACTGACGAAATGTTTGGGCCTCAGCAAGCTAACTGAAAAGAACATGTTTTTTGGGCCTCAGCAAGATACAATTAAATATAGTATCAATCGCTCATATTTATATTGATTTTTTTTTTTTTATCAGTTGAATCAGCTCTTCAATCAAATCTTGGCAATGAGAGTATTATCCTAATTTATGAATGGTACCCAAGCTCAGCAGAGAAATAATTTGACCTAAATGTCAACTGCAGAGTTAGGAAAGGGCTAAGAATCATTTCAGTTGAGTCATGTAATTACAATCATGTAAAATTTGTCGCCAAATCTCATGCTTTATTAATTACAATGTTCTTAACCTGGTTTTAAAAAAACAAACAAACAAAAAAAAAAGACTGGCATGCTTGGAGCAAGATGCTCAAGAACTATCTTCTCCGTCAAAGTCAGAATCCTCAATAGCCTCAACATCGTCGTCGTCGTCATCTTCAGGCTCATCACTTTCGGTTTCACTCAATACATATGTTTTGGGCCTGCGAATAACCCTCTGAGGTCTAGCTCTTGGTGCTGGTGCAACTTCAACTACCTCATCCAGACCAGGCGACGTGGAAGCAGAACCAGACTGTTCTTCACTTTCAGTTTCATCTTTGTTCGAAACCTTGGCCAGCATGGAACCACTTTTCTTGTTAAATGGGGATTCTCTCATCTTTCTTACTTTCTTCTCCGGCGAGATCCCTGAACTATCAGCTGTTGGCTTCAAAATATCATTAATAAATTTTTGACCCAGAATCTGAGTTTGCTTTTTGGCTGCTACATCACCTCTCTTCCTGGTGGCTGCAGGCGGCTTTTTGGCACCACTCTGAGCTGCAGGTTTCCTACCTCGTCTCTTTTTTTCTGGTTCTGGGGCAATTTGCTGCTGTAACTCAAAATCATCATCTTCAACGTCGTCACCACCAAAATTTTCATTATCGCTATCAGAACTGTCCAAAACTGTAATAGCTGAGGACTTCTTTTTCGCAGCAGCCCTTTTGCCATGTTCTTTCTTTCCAGCAGCAGGCACATGGGGTTCTTCAGTTTCCATGACTGTTTAAAGCATATAATAAGTTATGATATCCCAGGATAGGCGACAGTCCAATACAGAAGCAGTTGTCTGGGAATATTTTACCTGTAGAATCATTACTACCAGATGGGCCAAGGTTATATGCAGCAAGGCGTTCTTGAAGGGATAGCATTTCATCATCATCCTCATCATCCTGATGACAAGTATCAGCCTATCAGGTCAGATTAAGCCCACGAGGCCGTTATATGCGGATGGGATGAAAGGGGGAAAAACTAAACATACCTTCTTATTCTTAGCAGGACCTTTCTTGGTAGCTCCCCCTCTACCTTTTGGTTTAGCAATCTCAGCAGGTTTCTCTGGTGATGCAAATGAAGAGAATCCCAGATGGACGTTAAAAGTTTAAATTTCTACCCATAGCATTCTAATATGCATTCAAGATCATAATACTAACAATCCAAACTTACCAACGTCCATTGAAGTAGATATGGTTTCAGCCTCTGGCTCAACGACCTTATTGTTCTTTCGTGGTCCCCTCTTAGCGGGAGCTTTTGTGCCAACAGCACGACTGGTCCTTTTACTTGCTTGACTTGATCTCTTCTGCTCCTCCTCTGCCTCCTTTCTGTCCAGATCCTGAAAAATAACGTTACATTAGCAAATGAAACTCAACACATTCAAATATGAACAAAGATGATGAGGTTAGATGTTGTCTCCTACATCAAGTTTCTTCTCTAGCTCATCCAAATCTGTCAACCACATAGACGTTGGTGGTGTTGCTTTCAAAATCTCATACTCCCCAGTCTTTTCATCCTTCTCGTTTAGTAGCTTCTGAACACTTTCAATGGTCAAAGTTCCTATTGACATTGACAACAGATACTCATAGTCACCAACACTTGCTCCTTCAGTACTAGCAGACTTTGAACCATTTTCCTGCTCTCCAGAACTGTCATTCTCCTGCTCTTCTGAGTTTTCATCATTTGCCCCAGCAATTTGTGGTTCTGCTGATTTACCTTTCCTTGGCATGGGAGTGAAACCTTTCTGCTTCAGCTCCATCAACAAATCAGCCTTCTTTCTGTTACTTACAACAATCTCTCCGCTCACAACCCCTAAGATAAACCTGACTTTATTATCCAACACCAACAAAAGTCGTTCAAGATTGCCTAATTTATATTTCTGCATGGACAGCCAAATCGCTCATAAGTTCCTCCCTAATTAGCACTGAGACATTAAAATATATACTTATAACCATCATAATCATTTACCTTTCTTCTCTCATAATACTCCAGCCTCAGCGGAAAGAACTCCTCGAGAACTGCATAAACAAAAATATGAACAGTTACTACCAAGGAACCAACAAGTATAACATTCCAAATTGTTCCATACTTCAAGTGGCATACTTTGTTCTGCGGTGTCATATTTCTTAATCTTCCCCTCTGCATCAAAAAGGTGCATGTTGCTTGTGCTAATAGTACCAGTCAGTTTTAACTTCTTTAGCAGGCCTTCCTGCATGATAGCCGTTATCTTGTCCTGCTTCAACCTAATTTCTATATTTACAGTAGCGTCATCACCATTTTGCCTGAAATCCTGAAGACAGGAAAAACTACTTGTGAATTAAGAGAGACGAGCAAAATTACTATGAATATGTTGGATGCTTTTCTTAGGTTGAGGCATGGCACTTGCAAAAGGGAGTCATTTTTGTGCCTTATGCATGAGATGCTTGTATAAATCAATAACATATGGACAGTTAAGTTTATCAAATCATGATTCCAAGAGCGTCCCAAACTTCTGCACGCATATGTTAGCTTACCTCGATGAGGGTATCCTTGGCATTAGGCGTCCCATCAGTAACAGATTCAAGGAACTGCTTATAATCTTGAGTCCACCTACGGATAGGCAATTCTGTGATCCTGAAAGTTTGCTCATCTACTTCCTCTATCATACCATTGACGTTGTACCCACCTTCCTTGGCACTTTTCTCAATGATTCCTTTAAACCCTTTGTACCATGGATCCATGGGTACAACTTCTTCACCTTTCAACAAGCGCCTAACATTAGCAATAATGTCTCTTGGGTTATAATTCGGAATGAAGGAACTCCATCCGGTACCAATCCCTTCACTGCCATTGACAAGAACCATTGGTATGACTGGCATGTACCTGTACGATCATTAAACGAGGATATGATTTAGTTACCAGGTTCCTTAATCCAAAATAATGTTTCATTGCGAAAAAATAGGAGAGCATAATACCAGTTCGGTTCAATTGACTTCCCGTCTTCATTAAGATAGTCCAGAAGCTTATCATCATCCTCCGCGAAGAGACACCGAGTTACTGGACTGAGTTCAGTATAAATATACCTAGCACTTGCGTGATCTTTGCCACCCTGTAAGAAGCAATTGGCCATCAAAATACAAAACATGAAGCCTCAATGGTGCTAGCACATCAAGGATAGAGTTGTTTGCCTTACCATGTTACGAGTACCAAATTGACCGTTTGGTTTGAGAAGGTTGATGTTGTTACTACCCACAAAATCCTGCGCCATTCCGATGATAGTGGTAGAAAGACTCTGCTCACCATGATGGTAAGCTGAGTGCTCAGACACATAACCAATGAACTGGCCAACTTTTATTTCTTTGAACAACTTTTTCTTGAATGAGCAGAAAAGAATCTTCCTTTGACCAGGCTTGAGACCGTCAACCATTGAAGGAATGGACCTTTGAAGATCCGCCCTTGAGAACAATATGAGCTCTTTGTTAACGAAGTCTCTGTAGTTTATATATTTTGCCATGTGATCACGGTGAGTGCCAGGCTGCAAGAACAAAGGGAGGTTAAAATTTCTGATAGGTATCATACGATGGACAAAACTAATTACTTGGTCAAATTATATCAAACCTCAAAGTTACGGATCCAGGTCTTCCTATCTTCTGCTTTTTTCTTACTAAATGCCAGCTCAATTGCAGTCCCATCCTGGTCATCTTCCCAGACAAAGTCTTTCCTGTGCTTATCAAGATCTCTGAAGTACTCTCTTCCTTCCTGGGGAGAACTTGTTCCCAGACCCTACAGGGGTATAAGCAGATCAGTGCGCATACAAGGAAAAGCTAGACCCGATGGAGGGATTTCAGACAGTAATGGGGTTTAATGCTTCCAAATTAGATCAGACAACAAACCTTATAGTACTTTATCTTCCACCCATTTGCATTATTCCCCAAACTTTCTTTCCATGATTCGAACTCTGGCATGGAATAAAATGATATTTTTGTCCCATTCGTGTGAAAAGCCTGTTGAAATTTGATTAAATTAAATAATCAATCCAACAAAATGTTCCTTTTGGCATTATGCATTGCTAATTAGACCAGAGTACAAACCCTTATAATCGGAGTTGTGAATTCAACCAAGAAAGATGGAACTCTAAGCAATGAAGGCCAGAAAGAATGAATGAAGTTGATCAGAAGCCCTTTGATGTGGGAACCATCATGATCCTGCACCCATAAACTTCAAATTCTCAACCTCCTAAAAAGCAAATAGACCATTTGCAAGCTTGTTTCCAACCGAGTTCTCAAGGTTTTCTAGAGAGAAAACAGAAGACAGAAATCCAAAGTAACTGACCTGATCAGCCATAATCATCAAATGACCATATCTCAATGACTTAACGCTGTTATACTCCTTATTCTGCTGCAGCCCAAGAATCTTCTTGATATTTTGAATTTCTTCATTCTCACTTATCTGCTTGCTGCTTGCCTCTCGTACATTGAGCAATTTGCCCCTTAATGGAAAAACACCATAGTGGTCACGACCCACGACAGAGAGCCCAGCCATCTTCATAGAAGTTAAAGTAGGTCAGAATTTTTTGAGGAACAACTTATTTAGTACTAGTGTTATTATGGGGGAAAAGCTTACCGCAAGAGCCTTGGCAGAGTCTCCCTCTGTCAATATCAAGGTACACTTATCGGAATTTCTTCCTCCTGCATCATTAGCATCCTCAAGCTTTACAATTCCGCGAACTCTCTGGGTCTTGGTTCCATCGGATTTCTTCAGATCTTTGCTCTGCTTGAAATCTGCCCATGATAAGAGCGTGTCCACTATTCCAGAATTTGACACTGCAGATATATATTTAAGCAAAACACCAAGTTATATCTTCAATATAATAGGTGACATATGCCCGTAAGCAATTCTTACTAGTAGATATTTAAAATAACGCTAAGTTATATCTTGACGAACCTTCCTTCAGCAATGATTCTGGAACATCACATTTGGAACCAAAACTATTTTGGCGAGTAGTAAGAGTTTCCTTGGTTTGCGAATCAAAAGCAGGGTTGTCAATCAGAGCATTGACGAAGACCCATAAATGATTCTTCACATTGTGCGCTTTGACATTGGCATCCTTTTTCTTCTTGTTAACTTTGTTCATCACATAATTTGTGATTTGATTGGTAATGTAATCAACATGAGTTCCGCCCTTGATTGTATTAATAGAGTTCACAAAACTGACCTGGAAAAACCAATTCATATTCAAATTACAAGCAAAAAAAGGTATTAACAACAACAACAATAACAGTGAAATATCATGCTTCTTCAATTACCTGTTGAAATTGTCCATCACTTAAACTCACACAGATTTCCCACCTATCACCTATTTTTGCATGAATCCTAACAATGTGAAAAAAATAGACAAATGAGTATGGTTGAAGTATAAAAATCATAATAATACTCAAACCGTGATTCAGAAGGGAACCTTGGAAGGGGTACTGGTCTGGATTTCTCAGCTGATTTCAGGTAGAGATCAGCATAATCACGGAACGATTTTAATCGAATCAAGCGCCCGTTAAGTTCAACCTTCACAGTCTTTCCAAGACACCCAGCTAAGTCCACAACCCGCTTCTTCATTAAAGCAACAACATCTTCTTCCAGATAGCTCATTTTGAACTTCTCTAAGTCAGGCTTAAAGGAAACCTTAGTCCAATTTTCACCCTCTTTGCATTTTGTTATGGCCGGCTCAGACTTCTTCCCCATGTTGTTGGAAAATACCTTTCGCAGATGAAGATGCGTTTAATATTTGTATAGCAATAAACGTACTAAACGCTAAAAAAAATTTGGTTGAATGCGGAATTATAAAGCTATACAAAACATGAAATATTCATCTACAGTTGAGGTTATCGTAGATCAAGAATGCAAGACGGAAAGCATGTTAACCAAGAAACAAACTTGGGATCACAAAAACTATATCAAAGCAAAGAAACATAAATATATTTCGATTTCACTAATCTACGCAACTATAGAACCTGTGCAGTTCAAAGAAAGACGACGAAGCTCAATTTAGATATATTAAGTTGAATAGTCACATCGGAGATCTCGGGTTTTTCTTAAGACGAAAATCTTCAAGTTTTTCAATTCATTAGAATTACCAATTAGAAACGAAGAAAGATGTGCAAAATCATAAATAGTAAAAATTTTCAGAGTTTCAAATTTTGAAGGAAATGATTTATTAAAATCCATAATACCTGTTTGTACTTCCTCTGGCGCTTCCCATCAGCTGTCTCGATCACGAACTCTGTCGAGAATATATTGGTAAGCTTCGCACCATACCCATTGCGACCACCGGTCGTCTTCTTCACGTTATCGTCATAGTTACTGCTGGTTAGCAAATGCCCAAATATCAGTTCGGGCACATACACCTGCTCCTCCTGATGGATCTCCACAGGAACCCCATCCCCATTGTTGTACACGCTAATCAAGTTCTGCTCAACATCGATGACAACCTTGAGGGAATCCATCGACGGATCCCTCTGCTTGTTATCGGCCGCGTTAACCAAGATCTCGTCAAAGATCTTGTATAGGCCCGGGACGTAGGTCACAGGGCGATTGACCATCTCATCGTTCTCGTAGACCCAGAGGGTCTGAGTGTGTTTCTCGATTGAACCAACGTAGGTATCAGGCCTGAGAAGGATGTGCTCGAGCTGGCTCTTCTTCTGGTACATCTCCTCGATCGTTTTCCCAGCACCTGTCATTGCCGCTGGCCCGATGTTGACATTGTTGCTTGTCTGCAAAGGGCGAGTCGCCATGGCGATTGATTCAGAATGAAGTTGTTCGAGATTTGAGCGAAGAGCAAGAGCGTCAAACAGACACGGAGGAAGTGTCTGAATGATTTGGAGAGAGCAAGCGAGATTCAAAACCCGGTGAAGGCGAAGAGAATGGAATATAAATGAGGGTTTAAACTGAAGTGGCCAACGGTCATGTCCTCAGACGAGTTTAAATTTGAATTTGACATTCGAGCGGGACTCTTCATTTTGAATGCGTAGGAATAGGATTGGTAGGCGTCCAACGGTTGTGATGCAAGTATTGGCAAAGAAAAAAAAAGCAAAAAGAAAAAAGAATGAAAACATTTTTGGGGCCTTTATGGGCCAAGTTATTGGCGAATGATTTGTGTTTGAAAAACTTCACGTTGGCAGATTCTTTGGATTCCAACGGTTTTGATCAGCAAAAAAAGGAAAGATACAAAACCTTAATCGGGATTACTGTAGGACTTTTACTCCTAAAAAGAATTGGGCCTTTAATGGGCCAAGTCTTGGGCCTCTATATATGTTGCTTCCACATTAACTTGACCCTAGCCACGTCAGATTCTTTGAACCCCATATTCTTTTTTTTTTTTTTTAACGTGGCATTGTTTAGGATTTAGGAAGGATAAAACGTTTTTACGGCGAATATATAGTTGCATAACCATTTAATGATTTGGGAAAATTAGGGAAAAGATAATCATAGCATCAGAGTTTATTTGGAATTAACTTTTAAAAAAACAGCTTTTCAATCATAATTTATAAAATACAAAATAAATAAATAAAAGAAATTTTATCTCAATTCAGGAGAAGGTGCTTTAAGTATTTCAGATAAACATAGGCAAACAAATACTTAATTTGGGTAACGGGACTTGCTTTTTCAGAAAATGATTTTATAAATACCATGAGTGGAATTAAGTAGAATATAAGTTCACAAAATTATCTCTAAAAGAGTCACGTATTTTAACTTTTAAAGATGTAATGTGAGATTCAACAATCAGCCAATCGCGTTATAATTTCATCATTTACCAGTGATTTTCTTTTTTTTATCTTTTATTAAAGAAACGAGCATTAATAGTCTAAAATTACAAATGCAATCAAACGGGCAACTTCTTATTTATAATAGTTTGCATGCAACATAACTAGTGCTAAGTTAGAATATAAGTTCACAAATTATCTCTAAAAGAGTCACGTATTTAACTTAAAGATGTAATGTGAGATTCACAACAATCAGCCAATCGCGTTATTTTCATCATTTACCAGTGATTTTTTCTTTTTTTTATCTTTATTAAAAGAAACGAGCATTAATAGTCTACAAATGCAATCAAACGGGCAACTTCTTATTTATAATAGTTTGCATGCAACAGAACTAAGGCTATTGGCATCAATGATTACGTGGTGCTGTTTTTTCTTTTCTTTTATTTTCAAAAACATTCCTCCATTCTATTGGTGATCAAAATTATCCAGGACTCCTCCTGTCCTTAATATAGGATCTAATTATTGAATTAATCTTGGTCTGAAATATAAAACCTATTTATCATATTTATCAGTTTTTCCTAAATTATCCCTATAGATACTCTCTCAACCATAATCAAGTAGAAAAGAGAAGGAGGATATTAAGGAAGATGATTATGGTGTTTTAGGAAAAAAAAAGTCATATTTCTTATAATTAACTAACTTACTTAATTTTTTTAATTTAATCAAATTAGTTAAATAAATCTTATATTAAAGATCAAAAGAGTATTTGAACATTTCTTTTGGCTTTGAAATCAGCATTAATACATAATCCCATACATATGTACGGACCTCGAGAAGATTCATATTTTATGAATTGTCCATGGTATATTAAAAACATACTCTTCCGGTTCTTAATATAAGACTTTTTTAACTAATTTGATTATATTAAGAAAATTAGGTAAGTTAGTTAATTATAAAAAATGTAACACGTTTTTCCTAAAACACCATAATCATCTTTCTTAATACCTCATTTCCCTCTTCTACTTTATTATGATTGAGGGAGTATCCATAGAGCTAATTTAGAAAAAATTGATAAATATAAGAAATGAATCTTATATTTAAGACCAAAACTAATTTAATAATTAGGTCTTATATTAAGGACCGAAAGAGTAATAAACTTAAATCTCACACTACACGCTTACATGATTCTGATATATCTTTCATATTTGCATTAATTTATCTTTAGAAAAACTATATGCGTTCGATCCAAGGGAGTTTACGATCCACTCAAGACTATAACAATGGGTTAAACGTACTTTTTATAGAAATAATTGTAATTTAATAGAATAAAATTATAAATAAAATGAAAATCAACAGCTGGATCGCCTTTACGTCCTTGGATCAGTAGCTCTTGATGTATTGCCTCTGATTTTTAATATAATGCTAGCATATACTACCTCTAATCCTAATTATAGGAGCTAGTTGACTAATTTGAAGAGATTAAAAAAATAAGTTGCGTTAGTTATTTGTAATAAATATGTATTTTTTCCCTAAAATATCCTTATTAATCAAGTGTATTAGCTAGAGTTACTATTATTAGAAGGATTACATTGAAAAAAATATATAAATATAAGAGACAAAGTTGATTAGAGTCTTATATTTAGAATCAAAATAAAAATTAAAGGAGGTTTTATATCAAGGACCGAAGGTAGTAGATTACAATCCGAATTAAACTAGAAACTAGATATTATATTAAAAACCAAAAATAGTATCACTTAAATTACTTGTTGCAATTATATATTTGAAAAGTTATTGATAAAAGATAAGATAAGCTTTATTCTAAAGAGATTAATAATTATTTTCTCCTATTCTAAATATCAGAGCTTATTGAGGTGTTTTTATTTTTGTCTTAGATAAAAAATCTAAATTCACTTTGCATATTAGATTTATAAATTTTTTTCTCAAGGTTTTTCCCGATTGTTTACATGCATCCAAGATGAATGTCATCAGTAAGTACATGATTAAAAGGAATATTATAGAAAAAATAATGTGTTTATTAGAAATAACTACTTTTAGTTAATTTTCTCAATATATATACTACCTCTGGTCCTTAATATAAGACTATGTTTGATTTTGATTTTGGTCCTAAATATAAAACTCCAATCCATTTTGTCTCTCATATTTATATATATATTTTTTCAAAATAGCCCTTCTAATAATGATAGTTCTAGTTAATACACTTGATTAGTAAGGATATTTTAGGAAAGACAACACCTATTTAGGACAAATAACTAACTCAACTTCCTTCCTTAATCTCCTCAAATTAGTCAACTAGCTCTTATAGTTAGAACCGGAGGTAGTACTCCTCCGGTCCTTAATATAAGACCCATTTAACTAATTTGATCAGATTAAGGAAGTTAGGTAAGTTAGTTAATTATAAAAGAAGTGACACATTTTTCCTAAAACACCATAATCATCTTTCTTAATACCCCTTCCTCTCTTCTATTTAATTATGGTTGAGGGAGTATCCATAGGGGTAATTTAGAGAAAACTGATAAATATGATAAATGGGTCTTATATTTAGGACCAAAATCAACTCAAGAATTGGGTCCTATATTAAGGACCGGAGGAGTATAAACTAATTACCTTTTTTTTTTTTTTAAAAGTACTAATTAAACTTGAAAATGCTTCAAAATAGAGTTACTTGCCAATTCCTCCACATGGGAGCTTTTTTCTCATATTTTATTGCTTCCTCACATTTGTTCACGTTCTTCCTCTCCACATGACCCATAAAGTATCATCATAAAGCTAACCCATAACTAAGCAGCCTTTGTAGGATCTCGGAACTTTCCAATGCCCTTTGTTTCGCCCTAAAATTTATGTCAATTTTCTTACTCCGTATTACCTCAAAACTAAACAACATTGAATCACATCTTAAAATAATCAAATTATGAAGAAATGTTAATATTAGGGCTGTACATGAGCTCGTCCCAGGTGGCCCATCTCCATTTTATTTTTATTTTAGTATATTTTATATGACTATGTGATCATATTTGAACATTGCCGGACTCAGTTGGGTTTAACTCTCCCAAATGTATTTGATATATTCACACAGACTCGAACTTAATACTACCTCCAATCTTTAATATAAGACCTCGTTTAATTTTTATTTTGGTCCTAAATATAAGATCTAATTCTACTTTGTCTCTTATATTTATATAATTTTTTTCAAGATAATCCTTCTAATCATTGTAGTTTTAGCCAACACACTTGATTAGTAGGAATATTTTAGGAAAGACAATACATATTTATTACAAATAACTAACTTAACTTATTTCCTTAATCTCCTCAAATTAGTCAACTAGCTCTTATAATTAGGACCGGAGGTAATAATTCGAGCTTAAGTGATCAAAATTCCTTTAGTTAGAATCAACCCACAGTTGATCTTATTTTGTTATATGTATGTATAAATAAAACTTTCTTTATACCTTTTAATTAACTTCTCTCATCTCTGCATGTCATTTGCTTATAGCCGCCTTTGTTCTTTGCCCTATTGCTTGATCTTGTGCCTAAGCTACTCCTCCTCCATGGCTTATCCTCTGTGAGTTCAAAATTAACATATATAATATATTATCTTTGGTCTTAAATATAAGATCTAGTTTGTAGTGCAAATTATATTAAAAACTAGTTCTTATGTTTAGGACTGGATGTGGTATAATTTTAAAATCCATTACATATGGCCCACCTATTTATCTATTGATTTCTCTTTTATAAAAAAAATCTAGTGATGTTATTTGACCAATTCTATCCATGCTTTCCAACCTTGGCAAATAATATTTTATCTCCAAACAAACAAAGAAGAAAAAGCAAAAAGGCAGCTTCATGATTGATTCAGATTCCAGATATAATGGCCATGGCCATACTGTCCACAACCAGAGCAGTCCCTACATAAGAAGTTTCACAGAACAAGCTGAAGCAGCCATCAAAAGTCGGTCACAACCTTAAGGATTAGGAATTAATTAAATTAATGCTGATACTTCTTCACCAGACTGGCATAGAAATAAGTTGATGAGAGAGCCTTCACCAGCACGTACGTATAGGATGTTGAATTATCCCACCAAATATATTTAAGAAAAC